GAGTCCACCATATTTTCTAAGGATCCGCCGCTTAAATGCAGCCATTGTTTGAAGCAACTATATCTAGGAATCAGACCTGTCTCATCAGCTACCCAAATCAACAAGCCTGTTTGACAAGCAACAACCTCTACATGCCATCTCAATTTTTCAAGCAACAACCTTTCTGAATCTAGTCAGTCACTGACATGATCTCAGCTTTCGCGATACACAGCAACTTCGAATGCTTATGATTTACATTGTAATATTAATAAACACGTTTGTTAAGCGCCCGAAATAGCTCGTGAAAACAATACACCATCCACATTTCTTGAATGAAGGTCAACATTTCTGCTGCAAGTTGTTTGAATTTATTTACGTGCTTTCGGAATAATCAGTAAGGCGTTACACTGTTATCTGAGGGATTTTGTTGATAAGTATGGTCGTTTTATTGGATAATTTTCGTGAAGTGCCATCAAATGCAACAAGTGGGACATGTATTATGTGGTGCCATGAAGCAGGTTCATTTATACATTTGTGAGTCTATAACGTGTCGTGGCAGACACCTTCCCATGAGTAAGTCACCTATCGCAAGCGACCACCTCCAAATATATTATATCAAGTCATATATCCAAAGCCCATTTCACACGAAATAACACATTGTCTCAAGCATCGATGTTTCTTACGTAAGCACCTTTCTAAATAAGCTGCCTGTCTCACACTATCATATTTCTCTGGCATACACCTTAATTATTCTGCAACGACTTTATGAATCAGCCGCGTGTCTCAACCATAAATAGTTATCAATAATTGCAACTAATTTGTTAACCTATCAGATTTTTCTGCTTTGAACACATTGAAGAAACGAAACAAAAAAGAAGCGTAACGCTATTTTTTATCAAGCAAATAACTTTATACAGCAGTCTCAATAATAAACCTACCGTGTGTGAATCAGCCATCTGTATCAGACAATTGCCTTCATGTAACAACCTTTTTAAATCAGTCACCTTTTTCAAGAGAACATCTCTATGAAATATTTTCCTATCGCAGCAGCCACTTAGTCAGAATTAGTCAACTGTCACAAACACCTGTGTGACTCATCCAGGTGTCGGCAGCCAATATAATAAATTAACAAGATGCCGCGGGAGCCGCTTCTATGAATCAGCAACCTATATGGATCCACTACCTGTCTCAAACACCTTTATAAGTATGCAATCTGTCTTGGACAACCTTAAAATTAGCCAGGTGTCTAAGCCGTCATCTAGGAACCAGCAATATCTCTAAAGCAATCCATCACCTACCCCACAATCCTCCTAAATTAATCAGCAACCTGTTCCAAACAAACACTAATAAAAAAGTCGTCCGTCTCGAGCAGCTATTTCTTAACATTGTAAACATATTTTTGGACTATTTTCACACTTGTGTAATACTAGTTTAATGCTCACGTATCATGATTAAAAGCATCGTCTAGTACTTTAGTCTATAGTAATCTAGATACGTTCCCGGAAACAACATGTCGGATTTATATAATGCATATGAAATATATTCCAGAGTATCTGGCTTCGTTTTCAGGTTTTATCGAGCATTAATGATGTCTTTTCTTTGTTTTGGCGTCTCCTTGGTTTCATTTTTATCGACTTAGAGATCATATTGCTTTTATGGATATTACATGTGCAAGTATGGAATATGTTATCCATATGATAGTTTAGTGTGTATTTTACTTTGAATAGTAGCCATCCACATTCAACTCAATTGTGAATTTGTAGTATATATCATTTTTGGCATCTATAGGGATATTAATAAAACCGCAAGTTATCATTTTTTTGTGGCTAATATTTGCTGTTTAATGCAATATCAGCAGTAGTGTGGTAAATGTTTAGGATTGTTATTTGAGTAATTAAAGAAGAATAGGTGCGTGATGTTTTTGTTATCGAAACAAATCTGATGAACCTTGATAAAGCTTACACGTTTTCTACATGACTAGGTTAATTATGTCCAATTCTACGAGGATTTGAATGAAACGACACTTTTCATTGAGTTCTAACCGTTGATTGTTGGACGATAGACCATACGCTTACGTGTATTATTTTGCAACAGACCAACGCTCTTTCAAAAACTCCCCCGCAAATGTTCCAATAAACAAGCGCGTCTAGGGACTAGTTTATCTTTCGAATGGATGTACCCGCGTTTAATTGTGTTTGAAGATTTGCTAGCGGACAAACACAAAAAAAATATTACTATATTACCTCTACATCTGCTTAAAACCTGTCATGCTCACGGTCAGAATGTTCCACTGATCTAACCGCAATGAGACTTGAAATGTTGTTTCTAAATCTGTCAAATGCTGATTTCATGTGTTGACAAGCGATGTCGATAGATTGGTGGACTTGATTGATTGAAATAAATGTTTGACATAAAGCATGCCGTCAATGCTTATTGTTTATCGTCTATGGACCAAATAGCATATGCATATGAAAAATATTCTTCCTATATACAAACAGGTTAAATACGCAAAACAGGACAACTGACCACAGTGTCATAAATGATAAAACCGCGCAGCTTTTTGTGAAACGAAATCACATGAAAATTAACGCGTTCAAAAGACCAGCCATATTTGAATAAATATATTATTTAGTTTACCTTGCTTAGTATAAGCGTATGAACACGAAGGTAGACACGAACAAATTTGCATTACATTATATTAGGTAGCATAGATATAATCAACATATGTTTGTTTATTATGGTGAAACGTATACATTTAACGAAACTGTTCTAAAAACCAAATAATCAACTCTGGCCGCAAGCTGCCTGAGTTAACTTTTTCAACGTTTCTCACCCTCGGTATAATATTCAACCATAATAAACGCACATACGTTGATTATTTCTTTAAATCATGATTGCGTAGTACAGATGTTAAACTTAGCTTCAATAATCCGCTAAGTTGTGTAATATTCGCATTGATAAACACAATGCATGTAATATGGCTCTTGTTCAATAGAAAATAATTGCTATTTAGCTATTGATCGATGTAGAATTATAGAAAGTTGTAATTATTAAACAAAGCTATCGACCGATGCTCGAAGAAGATATTTATTCTAAGAATGAAAAACATTCCATTAAGAAGATTAAATTGTTTTCCTTAATTAAGAAAACTAAATCGAGGTGAAATAATACCGGCGTTTTTATGGTAATTAAGTGATATTTTTTTCTTCGAAGTAAGCTCGTAGAGTAAAGAAGGGTACCAGACTAGAGAGCAGTCAGTATGGTTAATTCCGTCTACAGTCTAAATAACTAATTAAGGCGCTAGCTTACAAGTTTAAGAACAGTTTGTTTACATGTGGTTATATAATTGATGTTATACGTGTTGTGTCCACACATCAAGGTGTTGGTTCATTTGTACAATTCTATGTATGGTGGTTTGGAGTCTGGTTAACATTGAGGCTCCGAACATGACAAACAAAGCAAGGCTATTGACATGCTAAACGTGTGTCTCGCACGTACATGGTGTGTGTCGGACGGCAGTGATGTACATAACCAAAGCAAAGGTTGCGTTTTTCTGTAACAGACACATCCTATCAGACTGACCATATACACGACTAGATTAATAAAGATAATGGTATTTCAACGATGGAATGGTGGCTATAATTTATAATCTAATATAAATACATGCCCCATAAATTACGTAACTTCCTTCAATATTTTCATAAGTTAATTTGCTGTGTTTCAGATGATGGATATATGTAAGGTTCGTTATATATGTCCGTTATATATACTTATACCTCTCTCAGGCTTATACTTGATATATAACTAACTATTGATATATAAACAAACTATTTCAGACTGCTGGTTTGGGATTTAGAAAATAATTTTCCTGTTCATTTCGTTTGTGTCCTACATACTGGTTTGTTTTCTCTTTTCTTCATAATTACCTTTTTTTTTTCATATTGCATTACATGACACCATTGCGTATTTAGTGTTAAGAATCAGTTAGAGCGAGGAAAGTAATGGTTTCTGTCTCCGAGTATACCGTAAAACTCCTTTGATTTGTTACGCACTGTTCTCTGCTTGATGTCAATTTTTTTTCTTGAGTCAAGTAATTTCTTTTCTTAATCCAAAACCAGCAGTATGGAATGACCTGTTCATGCTAGTAGTATATGTGCATTATAAGCGAGACAGCGTTGACAATATAATATGACCGGATGGAGTGTGCGTATTCTGCATTATACCGTCCTCATGTAATAACAATTCAGCGAGGTTGACGTAAAATCAAAACTAAACTTATCAGACATTTGTCATATATACAAGATTTTTTGTACATATAAGCTGTTATATGTAAGACATTTACATCTGTGTTACACATAAACGCTATGTTATTACGTATACGTCAACAGCTGCTAGAAATAATAACGAGTTAGGATCATAATGTACAAAAACAGTTTTTGTCAAATCAGATACATACATTGACTATGTATGAATCTGTTGCAGAAATGATGACAAATAAATACACACTTAAACGGTCAATTAATATTTCCCAAATAACGCAAACACTCCGTACACTCCGTCATATAAAACATCGTAAACACAAACGAATGTGAAACATTGACAATGATACCAGTTAATGTTTCCATCCCTCTCCCAGACTTTTCTTTCTGTTACTAAACGAACACGCGCGACCGTAATACACTCCTGACCTGACCTTGCGGAAAAGCAGCCAGCGAATACGAGTCGAGATGGGCCCCTCGGGTTTGTTGATAAGGTTAACCATCCATGGATAGTTTCATAATGGATCAGCTGTAAAATAAAATGTGGAGAGAAGAAATATCAAAGTAATCATTTCAGAAAATGCCCACTCCGCACACGGTTCTTAGTACGGAATTACACTGTTGAAACAGTAGTAATCTGTCGCCATGTTCATTGGGATGATTCTACTGTAAAAGCAACACGTGATTATATAAATCTCTTAATTTGATGGTCGATTATTGCAGCGTGACGTATTCGTTAGTTAAAACCATATCTTGCGTAAATCTCCCTGGGGACAGACACGGGTTATGTGTCGATACGAATGTCGGTGATCTAGTCTTATACTAGCATGGCGTGGAGTGTTACTAAGTGAAGAGAAAACGGTACTACTGTCAGTATAGGAAAAACCAATACGTGGCCAACACCAAGAGAGACTTGTAGTGAAAACCGAGTACCTGCGATTCCGCAGCATTCACTGGGAAGGGAATGGATCAGCCCAACCTCGCAGTGCTCTCTCTGTTGCAAACTCGGCTATACATCTTAGGGATATGGGAAGTGTATGTCGGTAGTAGAACGTACCTTTCTGTACCACAATGTTGAGTTGTATATCAAGCTTGAGATTTATCTGTATATTAACACGTGTAATGATATGTTGCATTCCGTATACCACAAGCGGAGAAAAAACAATCAAACAGGTTTGAAGTTAGTTTGTGCTTTAAATTGTATAAACGACTTTTGTAAAATAGATCTTTAAAATGATGTCAGTGTTATTCATGTGAAAATAGCGACAATGTACTTCAAGAAAGCCGTTATTATTCTACTGGATTTGTCAAAGTAAGGTACCAACTGTGAGCGATGATACTAACACCAAAAGTGACAGTCGTACCGGGAATAGCCTGTACAATTTAATATATATGTAACATGTATCAATGAACGCATTATTGCATATAGAATTGAAATACCTTGTGAATGTGTTGTGATTTCCCGACATTGTTTTTGAAAGTCTGTGAAATTACCTGGAGTATATAGAACGGACGCAGGGATTAACAGCTCGTGTGTGACCGAGGATTGTACCTGCCTATTTTGTTAAATTACTCTTTCGATTGGATACGCTGGTCTCGTTGGATACTATGTCCGTCATCTGACCTCTTTCCTTAATGTGTCCGTTGGATATTCCTCTCTGGACCCGTGTCCTAGGACGGACTGGATAGTGCCATTTTCCCTACCTACAGTATGAGCTTTCGACACAGGAAGCGTCTCGCTACCTATTTACTGCTGGGACTAGCGCTTGTTCAGTGTGTTAACTGCCTCCCCGAGCTCATTCACATAGGTAAGTCTTTCTTCAACTCAACACAATGCGTTTTACTAGCTTAAATATGTGCTTACAATTTTAATTGTTTATAGATTTTCTTCTTGGAGACTTCATTACAACTTAATGCTATCTAGTGAAACAGGTCGATGACGCCGTGTAAACACACTTAGGGTCAATCAACCATGCACCACGGACCGATTTCTGTCGGCTATGCGGCTCCGCTTCAGTCCATCACTCGACACTACCTAAGTAGGGAGAAATCCCGGGGACGATAATTCCTAATAATGTCATCTATGGATTAGAGATAAAATCTTCTGATGATCGGTCGTTTATTTATTTATAGCTAGTTATAAGCTCTTATTACGTATATACACACCATACATAGTACATACGGTTCGAACGATTCAACCTATTTCTTATATGAATACACTCAAGTAAACTGTGCTCCCGTATAGATACACGAATATTCAACACAAATTTACATAGTAATTACAACAGTAGTTTTTAGATCGAATTGTTTGATAATACATGACAGACTAAGCCATATAGGCTGTTAAATGCCATCCTACATTATCCTTTCACGAAAAACCTTATTAACATAGACCCTGCCCGTTTTGTCAAGATAATGACAGGAATAAATCAAGGGACATTGTGTCTCAATACTTAATATCTCCATACTTATGAATGATTTTTTGTGAATCTTTCTCCGGAGCAAATCGATTCAGTTCAATTGATCTTTACACCTGCGAATTTCAATGATTTATGTAGTTGTTTCATACGGGTGCTTAAACACAACCCTGTGTTTAATGGACCGATGGTCCTCGGGAAATTCAGATGTGAAATATACAAATAGTGTGGGATACGTACCATATGTTCGATGATTTAATGTTGAATTACCTACGATAACTGAAACGTTATACTTCGTATAACTTACTTTTTAATATGTTATTAAGTAGATATTATGGACAGTTTTAACCAATAACTATTTTTTGTTATCGAATTCAGCATAAACGTATTTTAGCAGAGGCAAGCATACGCATAACAAACTAACAAATCTGTATCCGTCCGTGTTTTATTGTTATCAGTTATTAGTGAGAATACTTAACATCTTGTTGATATTTGACTTCTGCTAACCGAGGTAATATAAAACTGGTTTACGTCACACTCACAAAGGTGTCTGATTGTGTTGAATGTTATCTCATTGTATATAGTACTATAATATATGCACATCTGCTGTAATAGGTCTACCAAACACATCATGACAGGTAGTTTCTAATTAACGAAATGCATGATAAATCTATTATAAGATAGATGTCTTTTTCTATAGGTATCTCATTACCTCCAAAGACATAAACCAAGAAATTATATCACAGATATCCGCAAAATGTCCCACTTAATGATAATAAGCATATGATTGGGAGAAGGAGACAGTTAACTGCACGTGGAGAAGATTTATCCTGTGAGAATTTTACTGTCGATTTCGCATAGTGTTTTGATAGATATTTGCATTTCGCCTAGAAAATACAATTTCGCCACAGATGTGAAGCATTTCTCGTAGTAGTGTAATGTCATATTAATGTCCAGCTAGTATAGTGGTATGTCAGACATTTACATATTCACTGGGAAAATAGATTTATATATATATAGAACTTGGTATATTTATACTGTTTATGATACCGGAGAGTTTTATACATGGTGTACATATATACTCTATAGATAATATTACACACATTTTCATACATTACCTGATTCATATCTATATATATGTATGGCGTATTACACATGTGATCACTTCATTTACACATATCTATTCAAAATATCACGTTTGTTACACAATATACGTCTGGGTCTGTTACAAAACAATATGGTTGTATACTTAAAAAGGTACGGTATTGTGACGTGATGCAAAATGAACTGTTTATAAGTCATTGTCATATCTTTTATATATAAGTGTTGCCATTTTCTATACATTGTTCCTGTCTTATTTATGCATCAAGATCAACCAATGTTTTCGCGTTTTACCCCTTTTTTTGTAAAAACAGAGTTTAAAACTATTTTAAAATGATACACACACATATTTATAGACATTTATTTATATCACTCTGATATAAAATAAAAGATAAAAATGCGATAGGACCAGCTCGCTATTTTTGTGTGGACTGTATGTGGGAGTTGTTCCCATTAAGATCAAGGTGCACACAAAATCATGGCTGCGTTAACGTGCATTAACATCTAGTAAGGAAAATCCATGTGGATTTTAGCTTTAATTTTACTCTCAGACAGAAAATTAATTTTACCACAGGTGGGTCTAGTGTAATGTGAATCATTAATATAATATTAAGCAGTTATAAAACCTACGGGTATTGCTAGGGAAGGACGATGTGAGTAAGTGCATGTCCTAAGTTTTCTCGCTCCACCACGCCGGGCCCCCGCTCCACTGGGAATGTTATCGCGCTGCTGTACGGAAATACGATAGATTCCATAGTCCAGGCGCGCTGCGAGATGACAAGTTCGTTAATGGGAAGATCCCCGTATTGCTAATTCTATTTGCAATTTTAAGCAAAATGGCGTACATATGATGATGAGAAACGACTACGGATACTTGAGATCTCCAATGACTGATGCAGTCCATGCATATACTTATGATAGAGTTAATAAGAATCTGTGAAGACACTGACTTTGATGAATTAAGAACTCGGCTAATTTGGATTATGTCAAGTTAATGATTATAACGTGGATGCATTTCGTTATAATTACAATTAGTTTCCTCGGAAATGTGGAATGGTTTTTTCATGAATTGTTTTATCTGTAAACAAAATGATGTACGGCCATCATACTGTTGAATACTATTTGTTAGATAGAAGATGTTTGTATAATATTATCAGTATCATTTAGCAATTAAATGTATTTTTTTCTTCTTATATGTTCTCAGTTATCACAATAAACCCGACTTTATATCTATTTCATAATCATATATTATATATGTTACTTATTATATATAACTGTGGCAATACGAAACAAGTGATGTTAATAGAACAGCGAACCAAAAGGATCACACTGCCATACATGTGATACTGAACACTATCATAGTATCCGGCTGTTATATATCACACCATCACACACGTTATACAGTGTATATATATACGCTGATGATTTTTCCTTTGATTTGTTCCCTCTACATTTTTAATATGATGTAATTAGGCGTACTTCGGTTTAATGTATGAAGATAGGAATCTTTTTAAACTCGTTTGTCTCCTATTTGACTTTTTTCACCCTAGCTGAAGTTACTTGATTTAAATGAAATGTTATGGGAACGATCGTCAAATCCTCTTTACATTAGCCGACCGATATACTCTATAAACACGTGCTGATGTACTCAGGATTTTGAAGAAGAACCAAAAGTTTTATCCCAATAAATTCGTTCGTTTAGTATTCCATATATTAATATGATGAGCTTTTAACAGTGGCATTAAAGCTGTATTATATAAATGTTTGTCAAAAATACGTCAGGTGCTACTTGATAAGACCAAAATAAAATGTTGTTAAAATAAAAAAACTTTTGTATGTATGCCATTGAAATTCAATGTATAACGAAAAATGGAAAAACTTAATAATTGTAATATACCTCAGATCATGAATATACACAATTGAAAAAAAGATGTCGGCAAATGAGACTTAATGGTAATGCTATCAAATGGAATGACAGGACCTTTTGTCGTCAAGGCGGAGAAATGTGGTGGTAATTACGCAGATTGTGGTATATTGCATCAAGTGGTTCAAAGAGATTTTTTTTTAAATGTCTGCCAATGTATATAGTGTGATTAATGTTATTCCTGTTGGAGCAAGGGCTTAGTGCTATTTCACCGATCTAGAAGTGATGCAGCGACGTTTAATTGAAATATCTCTTGTATATCTCTTCTGATTATCCGATAGTTTCCTGTGATGGTGCATACTGTAGCGACGTCGGGTAATCAATGAGCTGAATTAAATTGCCCATCGACCAGCAAGCTTGGTAATGTTTCAAGCGAAATTTGTCACCAATTTACCTTGGTAGTAAAAAGGTAAATATTTTCTGTATGTTTTGGGTATATGCGCTAATGACTATAACTTCACATTTAAAAACGAATTTTGAAATTGGAGAAAGGTGTAAACAAATATAAATATATGTGGTGTGTCAAAGGAATTGGAGCCAGCTATTTTTAGCTAATTATGAACGTTTTACTAATGGTGCCAATGAATTATTACACGTAGACGCCGGTTTGATATAATTCATTCAAATGTTAAAATTGTATCGCGTGACTTTTGAGCATTATATGCTATACTGTTTTTCCACAATGTGGATATATATGACATCACAACCCCCGTTGAAGTCGTTGCTATCACACTAGTATCTACCTAGGGTTGAACGGCGTCAACACGTCTTGCAACGTCAGATTTATAGTATGACGTTGATTGGTCGGTCCTAGACCAGAGACGTCAAATAGTGCTTTCGCAAAAACAAAGAACATAACATTTTACGTCTTTCTCAAATGCAGTCTATTTGCTGCAGCTTTTATAACACAGTTTAGAATAGCTTGAATTACAAATACACAATAATCAAGTATCACGGGTCCATTGGCTTTGCTTGGAAATATAACAATTTATGATATTGTAATATTTCGAAGACAATATTAAGCTGACCTTTTAATCATGAGAAAACTGCCACAGCTGCACCCTTTCATTGAAAAACTTGCATCAGATTACAATAAGAGCTTGAAGATAAAACAGTGTTTGCTGTTGCTAACTACTGGAAACGAATCTATTTCAATGTGTAATACGTCATCTATATCCAGGTGTTGTAGACACAACTGTTTTACTAAGCACACGTGTACTTGAAGTATTTACACGTGAATCGTGATGTATGTACACGTACCGGCCATCGTATTACACACATAATCTTTATTTTTTTAATTTCTGACAATGCGTTACATTTAAGTGACATTGTTAAGAACATAGTAGACAGGTGAAGCATAATGACA